TGTAGAATATACTTTCTACGCTTACCAAGACTTCTGTTTTACCGTTGGATTCAAGGTAGCCTCCCTGGAAGCTGGTAAAAGCATCGTTCGCGTTTATCGACTAAGGTAAACTCGTAATAGCATCAAGCATACTAAGTGACAAAACATATCACTCACTCGTCTTCTGCACTTTGCTTCGCTTTGCTTGTACACCTTTCATTCTCATGTCTGTCTGTATGAATGACTGCTTGAAATAAATTCATCCGATCGAATTCGTATTTGGCTTCTGATTTCTGGCGTCTCACAAATGGCGGTTCGTCTAAGTATGATCTACGAGAACTGTTTATCGAAACAAACAGAATGAATACATTTATGGGATTGTCACTTATTATGAGCCATATTCTTCAGATTATTATTAGCTCGAGGCTGCCTATCAAGTTGTGTTTATACCTCTCAAAATAGCCGACTCCACCAAACAACTTTTCATTAATATTCAAAACAGATGATTGCAATTTTCATCTGTTTATTTATTATTCTTTCTAATATTGACTACTATTTTCGTAATAAGTACTATGTTTTGTTTATTGAATGTTTTAATTTTTTTTTGTTTGTTTGTTTTATTTTACTAGGTCACATCAAGATCATTTACAAATTTCGTAGTATTCATTTTAGCATCAATAATATTTTTCAAAGAAAATAATGCAGATCACTTGAACTAACTATTCAATTTATGGTAAATCAATGAAGATTTTAATTTTTTTTTAAATTTCAGTAAGATTCTATCTGAAAAATGTGGTCTTTTTGTGCTATAGACATTTCGAACAATCTGATCACACATAGACACACTTGTCAAGGTATTCATATATGAAGGTTAGTAAAAGGTCAATTAAATAAAAGTTCAAATAGACATGAGGTGATAATTGTAAATGAAGGAGAGATAAAATTAAAGTAATATTGAAAGAATAAGAAAGGATAGGAAATTGTCACATTTCCCTTGGTCATAAAACGGCTTAAAAATTACCAGGGTAAATTCTAGGTTATAACAAATTGTTTCTGTACACATAAGGAAGGAGGTTTTGATTTGTGAATATCCAAGGCTTCCATAAACCTCAGAATTCGTCCTTCAACGTTTCTTATTCGTTCTATATTACACATTTGAAATCATCAATCAATGATTGTTAGACCACCATTAGAAACCTGGAAGCACTAGACGGCCGTTTCGTCCTGGTATGGGACTCATCAGCAGTGTGCATCCACGACTTCTGCACCTCACATGATATGAACCCAGGACCTTCGGTATTGTGCGCGGACGCCGCGACCTCACCCACTTGTCTTCGGTAGTTACTGCCTACACCCGACAGGGCTGAACTCCATTGATCACGTCTTCTCAACTAGAACTCCGAGAATTTCTTCACGAAGCTAGTCACTAGTGAGCACTGTTACGATATTTTGGGGCAGAGTTTTGGATGTTTGTATTTTTACACATTACGTTACATATATAACGTTAATTTTCTCTAGTCTTCATTTACAATAATCACCTGATGTCTATTTGAACTTTTATTTAATTGACCTTTTATTAACCTTCACGTAAAAATGTCTTTACAAATATATGTGTGACCAGATTGTTTGAAAGGTACATGGCACAAATGCATCACAACATTTTTCAGGTCAGATTACGTCATCGCATCGTTCTATCAAAATTTAGAAAAGGGATAAATTGTTTTAAATACAATTTAAACATTTCGTAGTCGATACACAAGTCACTATGACCGAAATAATTTGTTAATTCATTGTTGATGGACGGCGCCAAGAATGAATTCTACATGTTTACTAAATAATCAGCAAGGAGGAAGAAGACTGTTCTATTTTCGGGCAGAGTTTTCGAGGTTTTTTGTTTTTACACATTTGAAATCATCAATCAATCATTGTTAGACCAACATTAGAAACCTGGAAGCACTGGATGGCCGTTTGGTCCTGGTATGGGGTTTATCAGCAGTGCGCATCCACGACTCCTGCACCTCGCAGGACTCAAACCCAGTACCTTCGCCCTTTCGCACGGACGCCTAACCTCTGGACCATTGAGCTGGCTATCATCCAAAGGTGTTAATGTCTAACTCTGATTGATTGGATGCCGGCCCAGTGGTCCGATGGTTAGGCGTTCGCGCACAATACCAAAGGTCACGGGTTCGAATCCTGAGAGGTGCAGGAGTTGTGGATGCGCACTGATGATGAATGCCATATCAGGATGAAACGGCTATCCAGTGCTTCCAGGTTTCTAATGTTGGTCTAACAATGATTGATTAATGATTTCAAATGTGTAAAAATACATTTTTTCATCAGATAGATGGTCTATTGAAAAATGAACAGTTCTGAAATTAGATCAATTTAATTCAAAGCAAAGTTAAACTCTATGACCTTCAAACCTCGTAAAAAGTACATTATCAAGAGTTTCAACATAAAATAGAATTGAAAATTCACAGAGTTGAAAAATGTTGAATACAATTGAAAGTTACACATTTTTTGAAACCATGAATTGATCAATGTTGGACCACCATTAGAAACCTGGAAGCCCAGGACCTTCGGTATTGTGCGCGAACGCCCTAACCATTAGACCACTGAGCCGGTATCTAACGCTGTTAATGTCTAACTTGATCATGGTTTCAAAAAATGTGTAACTTAAAAATCTTCACAACCCCGTAATACAATCGGAAGTGTTAACCAATAATACTTTTCAATGATTAAGCATATCGTCAAACTTTATCAGACACAAAACGACATTATTAATAAGTAGTCAATAATCAATCTGTATAATACCGCTTAAATTTTATTCTCATACTATATGTACACATGTCATATTAGTGGACTATTTTGCTACCAAATATCAACCCATTCATAACCTTTACACCTACCTACAAAAGATATGAGAAGCATTTTCATATGTATTGTCAATTAATTAGGTTAGACGGAACATTGATGTTATCAGTTTTATTGCAGAAAAAAACGACAAGCATATCATAGTACTACTATACCTACATTCAATTCAGTACTATTTTTTTTCTACACTTTTTCACTAAGATTACATTTGATAAAAGCCCTATGATCTATCTGTTCATTCATTCATTCATTAATTAATTAGTTTGAAGCAGTTCTCAACTGAAGGCACATGCAAAAAATAAAAATCGATCAGCTTGATCATTTCACGAATACTTGATGAAATCAGTCAAACAAACCATTAATTTATATATAGTAAGCAAGAATGGATAGATTAATTGACCAATGTACATGAATGATCATTGTGTTAAACATATGAAATGATCACAGTACATTCATTGCACACACACATGATAAACTATGTTCCTCTTGAGTGAAACTCCACTTTATTTTTTTTTCTGTTTTTTGATTTATACATATATACCAAACACAGAATGGTTGATTTTATCGATTAGTACTAATGTTCTAGGTCATAAGAAGATGATTTTGTCCAAAGTTTTGATGAGTGTTTAATAATTCATTGTATGTTAGTTAATAATGATCAACAGTTAGTTAGCCTACTGAATAAGGATAATGATAATAATAAATGAAATTTGAATCAAATTTAAACAACTTTTGTCGTATACTACTTACTTAAACCAATAAACTAGAACATGTACAGTGGCACATTCATCTAAAGTGGAAATGTTTCATTTTATGAACTGTCGTAATAACAATAATTTATCATTGTATCGATTATCATCAACGGTAAGTTTCATGTTATTTAACATGTAACAAGTGATCTACGCATTCCAGTTTTTTATTGTTGCCAAAAAAAACATTCCATTTTTTTGTAGACTTCCTCTTCGATAATTTGTGAATCATTCAATCCCGAGATTCCATACTCCTCCGAATTGACATCGATCGATTCAACGACGACTACTACTACTACTCCTATTGCTAGTGCTGCCAGTACACTCACATCAGCCACCAGTAGTAGTATTATCGATCCGATCAATACTGATACAATTTTAAATGATGTAGACAATGGTAGAATTCATGAAAACAACAATTTACCGCCACTACTACTACCTGTACGATGTAAATCATTAGAAATAAAATCCACAGAAAAATCTCTATTGAATTCAACTTCAAAGAAACGTCATCGAAGTACTGTGGACAATCAATGGAGTCGTTTGAATCCAATGAATACTATGTCAAATTTAAAATATCCTCCTCATCATCATCATCATGTGAAAAATAATTTATGTTTGACGCCCAATGGAGAATGTAATCTGGATGTAAAGAAACGAAGAACTGGGGAAAATAATGTAAGCAGTTATTAACTGATTGACGTTATTATTATTATTATTATTATTATTATTATTATTATGTACAGGGCTAATTGTAATCAGTAACAAGATAGATGGAGTAAATTAGTTTTCTAATTTGGAACAGACATGATACTATTGTTGTAACATGCCAATAGCGAGCGATACAATTAGTGAGATTTGTTTATATTAGGCAGTAGCCGAAAAAAAATATTTTAATTGTGACATTTACATTTTCAATTATTAAGAGTGTCTGTCTGATAGACAGTTTTAATTTTAAAAATAAGTGATGTGTTTAAAGTTGAATGGGAAATTGAATGCCTTTAAATTTCAACTAATTCATAAATCACTTTTTGGTTTTTGCCTGTTCATTCCATACATAATTTGATTACATTTTAAATTGATCAAAGAAGATTTAACTGAGGGAGACTAATGTAATATGTAGTTGAGTAGTTTGTATTTGTATTATGATGTTTAAACAAAGTAAAATTGAAATCTGAATTGATATTTTAAAATTTTCAAACTGAACAGATAATCATCAATCACTCATCGTTAGACCACCATTAGAAACCTAGAAGCACTGGACGGCCGTTTCGTCCTGGTATGGGACTCATCAGAAGTGCGCATCCGCGATTCCTGAACCTCGCAAGATATGAATCCAGTATCTTCGGTCTTGTGCGCGGACGCCTAATATCTGGACCATTGAGCTGGCCGTCAACCAGCAGTGTTAATGTCTTACACTGATCAATCTAGGGATTTTGCGCCAACTCACCTATTTGTCTTCGGTAGTTACTGGCTACACTCGACAGGGCTGAACTCCACTGATTACCTATTCTCACTAGAATTCCGAGAATCGCTTCATGAAGCTAGTCACTAGTGAGCATATTGTGCAATTTTTTTTCGATTAGAGTTATGGAGATCAGCAATTTTACAGATTGAAAGAATCTAATGATGGTCTAACAATGATTGATTGAGTAAAAACACTTATCTCTACAACTCTAATTGAAAAAATTAATAGGCACTATTATCTATTCCCAAAAATCGGTATCCAACGATACGTTCACGCGTGTGACTGAAGGTCCTTGGTTCGATTCCCGAGTGCATGGTTGTGGATACGCACTGCAGATGAGTGCCATACTAGGATGGAATGGTTATCCGGAACTTCCAAGTTTTTAATGATGGTTTAACACTGATCAATTCATTATTTCATTCATGCTCAACAATCTCCATGACTCTGTATTGACTTTTCTAGCTATATATGTTTATATATATATATATATATATATAATCATAACAGACAGCTGTATAACTAGTAAACTAGCGTAATTATCCCGTAAACTTCTGTTTACCCCAAATTGCTCACCTAAATGAATCGACTCATTTATGTGGTGAATCACGAGGATTGTACTCTAATTTCTAATTATTAATACACTATTTTAAAAAGTAGAAGTTTGAATGTGGAAAAGATTCCCATAAAAAAAATTTATATATTAACAGTTCAACTTTGAGTATGGATATCATTTGTATGGAGGAAAAAGAATGACTATTTTAATAACTTCAGAGAGCTATTCACAAGAAGCGGAAAGCTACATCATTATATCTTTCTTTCAGTTTTATGTATCTCTGTGGAATATGTTGTTACGTTTACCCGAATTTTTACTCTGACCATTCATAATACAATTTTATATGAGTTGATATTTTGTCAGAGATTATTGGCAGGAGTTCATCATTTTTAACGTAATAACATCTGGCGAATTCATTAGTGAATGTCTTATTTGGGTCTTTGTAAAATAACACAATAATTATGGACTTATAATGATAGAACCTGACAATGAAGTTACCGAATATTATTTGTTTTTGAGCATACATTTCAATCAATACTTCTAATTCTAAACTGTAATGCTGGCTGAAAACATCTCACTGTAAGGAAGGTTTCAACCCAAATCTAACTATAAGAATTAATTACTTACTTACTTACTTACGCCTGTTACTCCCAATGGAGCATAGGCTGCCCACCAGTTTTCTCCAACCAACTCTGTCCTGGGCTTCCCTATCCAATTCTGTCCAATGTTTGTTCATTCCTCTCATATCTTTCTCTATTTCTGTAGTGTATTCCTTGGCCTTCCTCTTTTCCTTTTGCCTTGAGGGTTCCATGTGAGGGCTTGTCTCGTGATGCAGTTAGGTGCTTTTCGTAGTGTGTGTCCTATCCACTTCCACCGCTTCTTCCTGATTTCCAACTCCACTGGAATCTGGTTTGTTTTCTCCCACAGTACGTTGTTGCTGATGGTGTCTGGCCAACGAATCCGAAGTATTTTGCGTAGAAAACTGTTAATAAATACTTGTATCTTCTAGATGATGCCTTTCGTAGCTCTCCATGTTTCCGCTCCATACAGTATAACTCTCTTGACATTTGTATTGAAAATCCTGACTTTGGTTTTGGTCGAAATTTGTTTGGAGTTGCAGATATTTTTCAACTGTAGAAATTCAGCCCTTGCTTTCCTGATTCACGCCTTTATATCTGCATCGGATCAACCTTGATTGTCGATGATACTGCCTAGATATGTAAAGGTGTTAATGTCCTCCAAGGCATCTCCATCAAGAGTGATTTGGTTGGATAAGAATTAATACAGAATCAAAATTCAGAAACGCTAACGTTACCCATTTTTTTTTGAGGGGACAGTTTATATTATAAATGACTGACACACATCACCTGAATTCTGATTGACTAAAGCTTGACATCACTTTCTTAAGTTTATCTTAAAAGCCACTGAAAATCATTTGTAAAATATGCGCTCACCAATAATAAACGATGTCACATTCTCTACCACTGGATGTTGATTGAATTCTACCGATCGGATAACCGAACAGCTCAGTAATAAGCTGATCGTTTAGTCTAATGGTCATCTAACAACGTGATAATTGGGATTTGATTTAATGATCTTATCATTGGGGGGGGGGGGATATAGGCATAAAATCCATTGTCGATACAATTTTAAACCTACACTACTATTGTAATTTCAAACAAGAATCCTTGGGGAAAGTTGTTCTTTTTAATAATCTGTTATGCTCGTCAGTTGATATGCTTGAAACTATTACGAGTTCACCTTAGTCGATAAACGAGAACAAGACAATGAACCAGTGACACAATAGGCTACTCTGATCCGTTGCCCCAACTACCTGAAGAAAAAGTTTTGATATGGTGTAGAAAGTGTATTCTACAAACACCCAGAAAATACAATGATCTCAAGCACACAAATCGCGTTTATTTACGCATCATAGAAACATCCTTGGAAGAGTCACGAAAATACCATACTAAAATAACACATCAACCAATCATTGCCAAGGATTTTTCTGGTGGGAAATGTGATCTCATGGTCAACTGATCAGCCCATGAATAAAATCCAAAATTAAGACATTTATCAAGAGAGTTCTGGGGATCTAACATCCTCAACATATTCTATCATCGAAATTATTTTATTGAGATGATGAACCGATCATTGTTAAACCATTAGTAGAAACCTAGAAGCACTGGACTGCCGTTTCATCATTTGGTGGGGTAGCGCAATACCTTTAGACTGATCAAAGTTAAACAGTAACATCGCTGGATTCCGGCCTGATCAGTGGTCTAGAGGTTTAGCGTTTGCGCGTGAGACCGAAGGCCCTAGGTTCGGTTCTCACGAGTGAAGGTCGTAGATGTGCACTGCTGATGAGTCCTATACCAGGACAAAACGGCCGTCCATTGCTTCCAGGTTCCTAATGATAGTCTAACAATGATCGATTCACCATTTCCACAAAACTTGACAATCTTTACAAGTGTTTAATGGAAATTTTAGAATTACTGGTAAATTATTTTTCTGTTTTCTTTTTCAATTTTTTGTTTTTATCAATTATTCATAGATTCTTCAAACTGGTTCAATAATTCCTGAACAATCTGTTTATAATTATACAACGGATACAAAAAATGAATATGAAGAATTCATTCCTGATTATTCACTAGTGAAATCTTTTCATCAACCAATCAACATGCCTAGAGCATCACAATCACATCAATCGAATTCATGCGAACAAATTGAAAATAGTGATAAACCATTGACCAATGAATTATTTACAAATCATGTATCATTAAAACAAGCGTATAAAAAAGGAGGAGCTACATTTGAGAATATATCAACGACAGTTACTAATAATAGTAACAATAATCATAATAATACTAATAATAACGCGTTCAATGGTACAATGAATATGAATTGTCATGAATATGAAATAGACAATGAATTATCATCTGATTCAGAGCTTACAACTGCTGCGTATAATGTTAGTTAATAATAAGTTTATTTTTGAAAATTATTGCATTATATCAGTCAGTTAGTCAGCAGCAATGTAGAACTTAGTACGTACATATGTACATCACTTCAAGTTGCCATTAACACATTAGCACAGAGAGAGAGAGATGCAATAGTAGTAGAGCTAGTAGTGTAGTGAAGGAGAACACATGTGAGGACAACCGAATTGTATTGAACGAAAATTACAGAGTTATTCAGTAAAATAAGAAAACCATATCGTAACCGTTAATTTGCAAATCTTCAATCCATCATCAATCCATTGTCTGACATTTCACTGTTCCCACTCTTCCTTTCTTGATGTTCCCCCATCTTCTGCTGCTAGACATTACGTTTTTAACTCGCGTCATATACTACTTATAAGTAGCGCGCATCACAGTAGCAGTATTAGCGGTAACGGAGAAGATTTGGGTATGAAGATATGATTCGAGAAGTACAACGCAGTGGGAAGTGAATTTAAAAAAAGAAACATAAAGGTGATGAGGAGGGATTTATAATTCCATTATGTCATTCAATTTGAAATGATTTGGATTGTTCTAGTGTTGATATCCGTATTATCTAATCACTTAATGTTTGAAGAAAACGGTACTGGATTGGAGTTACGAAGTAAGCATCAACTCTGAGATGTAGGTAAATTCAGCTGATGAATCCCATATAGGGCGAAATGAGCATCTTGGATTTTCTTATCATTAACTAACATTGTATTTCTGCTTAATGTGAAGACCTTGAAAAATATCTTGGAGTTTGATTTTCGTATTTGTTGAAAGTATGTAAATACCATATAAATAATAAGTCACATACATAAATACAGTTGAGGTGGTTGGGACATGTGTTGCGTATGCCCAACCACCGACTGCCTCTTCGAGCTTTGTTTTGTAGTGTACGAATAGGTTGGAAGAAAGTTAGGGGCGGCCAAATCAAAACATGGCAGAAATCCATGAAGTCACTGACAAGTGGACTGAGTTATGTCGGTAAGTGTCGGCTACCTGGTTAGGGTCTGCGAGATGATAATAATCGATGGTTAGAGACCTTGAATGACATGGCTCAAAACCGTTCGCAATGGCGCCGGTGCATTTATTCTTTGTGTTCTCTCAAATCCTAATCTTCTAGGTTCTTCAACCCCTCTAGTTTTGACTTTCTAAACTTTTCTCACTGAATCATACTTCTTGAATAATATCTTCTCATCTTAACCTCTCCGATTACTTCTACTGCCTCTACTACTATTGGATTTGAATTGACAATTACACCTCTTGCTGATGTGGTATGGCGACATGAACTGATGTACTGATGTACGAAGTTCTACGTTGCAACTGACTGACTGACTGACTGACAAACTAGGTTCCAGTTGAGGAACTTTAATTTATTTCAAGTAATATGTTTTCAAAAATCAAATTACAAGGTTTGATCATTTCCCTTTAGACATTAGTATTCTAAGATTCGAAAATAAACATGTAGATCCTAGAGGAACGGAAATTACTGACTTTTTTTCCCAGTTAACAGATATATGTAAATGTGTATCGATATGTAATAGTCAAGTAATTCTATTAATTTGCGTAATTTAATTGTTATTGTCAAAAATTGTAATAATATGCTAAATAATTAGACTAAGTATAATTTTATAAAGTCAGTTTTGTTTTGTGGTGTAGGAGTAGGCTGGAAGAAAGTTAGGGGCGGCCAGACCAATACATGGCAGAAATCTATGAAGTCAGTGACAAGTGGACTGAGTCATGTTGGTGGGTGTAGACTACCTGGTTGGGATCCGCGAGGTGATAGTAATCAATGGTTAGAAACCCTGAATGATATGGCTCAAAATCATTTGCAATGGCGCAGGTGCATCCACTCTTTGTGTTCTCTGAAATCCTAATCTTCTGAATTCCTCATCACCTCTATCTTTCACTTTCTAAATTTATTTCACTGAATTATACTTCTTGAATAATATCTTTGAACCCTAATCTTCTCCATTATTGCTGATACTTCTTCTACCTCTACTACTATGGCATTTGAATTGACAATTCTATCTCTCTGTGCTAATGTGGTATTGTAAATTGGCTTGATGTATGTTTGTACGAGGTTCTACGTTATAGCTGACTAACTGACTGAAGTCAGTTTGGAAAAATGTTGATATACTGAAATAACTGATACAATCCAGAATAAGTATGAGGAACCATTGAACTTTAGTGATCACTAGAAAATTGTTTCGTTCTATTTAGACATTATTCATCATTGTGTACTGTACATAAAACTTCACATTCGAACATGAAAGTCAGAGTTTAATAGCTTACATTTCAATATTAGTTGATTCATGATATCCAACTATCATATTCAGTACATCTCAGATGTTAAAGGCTTTTTCCTTCATCTGATGTCACTCTGTGATAGAAATCTTTGTGATGCTTAAACTGCAAAAAAAAATTTTCTTGTGGTTCTTCACTGGTTTTGACTAATTCATTTCAACATTCAACTATTGATAATTGAATGTGTGTGGGTACTAATGTTTATCTGGATAAATTCAGTTTTAGATTGTAATTTGACAAATTCACTATAGACAACTGAGAAGTATAATGGAGTTGAGCATTAAATTAAGGCTGGATTCATATTGAAATCATGAGTGAATCATTGTTAGCCCATCATTAGAAACCTGGAAGAACTGAACGACCATTCGATCCTACTACAGGGTTCATCAGCAGTGGGCACCTTCGACTCCCACTCACGAAAATCAAACCCAGGGCCTTCGGTCTCGCTCGCGAACGCTTAACCTCTAGACCATTGAGCCGACATCCAACGGTGTTAGTGTCTAATTTCGATGAATCCAGTCTTACACAACCTCTTCCCCTGTCTTCGGTGAGTACTGTTTCATATCCGACAGGGTTTCGATTTTTCACTAAAACTGCGAGAATTTCCTCACGAAGCTATTCACCAGTCAGTCAGTCCCATACAAGGACGAAACAGCCGTCCATTGCTTCCAGGTTTCTAATGGTGCTACAACAATGATTGATTGATAATTTCATTGGAAAATAACAACCTTCCTAACACTATAATGGTATTCATTGTATGCTTGTTGAACTTCATCGTTTTCGTGAAGCTCTGTTTTAAGCACCAGTTAATAGATAGACAATGCTTGATGCCGTGTTCAATGTTTCACTGAATATTGGAATTTATCAATCAAGGTATCATCTGTAAAATGTTAACACTCTTTTGAGAAAAGAGGACTGTTGAATAATGGAAGTGTTAAGTTCGTCACTAGGTACGCTTGAAGCTATTACGAGTTCACCTTAGTCAATAAACGCAAACGAGACAATTAACAGCCTCCAGGTAGTCTACCTTGAATCCCAAGCTGAAGAAAAAAAGGCTTTGTAAGCATAGAAAGTATATTCTACAAACACCCAGCACTCACAATACAATCAAGCATACAACTCTCGTTTATTTATACATCATAGAAACGTCCTTGAGACAGTCACAAAAATAGCACACTAAAATACACAGCAGCCAATCACAGCCATGGATTTTCCTGGTGGGAATTGAAATCTCAAGGTCAACTGATCAGCCCATGCTGGCAAAGGTGAAATCCAAAATTAGGACATTTATCAAGCGAGTTTTGGGGATTTAACATCCCCAACAGGAAGTAAATTTGACATTCTCAAATAATTTTCAAAGTCTGCTAAAAACTCTGTTTGTTTAGTGATATATATTTCATTTTTACTGACATTTTATACAAAGTTTATTTTTATTTAATGAGAATTTATATATTATTTTCGAGTGTAACTACTACAATTTATCAATTCAGTTTCTCACACTAGACAAATATTTATTTCTAAAATAAAAAATTGTATGTTAATCATTTTTTATTCCACAACACAGAATTTTGTACGTCGTGTAGTTGATGATACGTTAGATCGTACAGTGACATTCTGTGAACAACCACGACATGCTATTACAGCTTTAGAAAATATTTGTACAAGAGCATGGCCCCAGTTAGAAGTGAAACGTCATCGTAATCGAATACGCGCTTATCTTAAAGCATGTAGACGTAATTCAAAAAAGAATAAAGGTCAAATAAATATGAAAGAACCACCTGCAAATGGATTGTCCATTGAAGCCAGACAACTTGTATCGAAAGCATTAAATTTAGTGGCCAATGATTTAGACTACTTAAGACAAGTGAGTAGTTGTTTTTGTTTTTAATGAAAGTTTAATCGGTACTGTTGTAATTTTCTACATTAAAAGTACAACTAGTATTTTTTATTGTAGCACTACGTAATAGGATTTTCGACTAGCGTGAAAATTAGAACATACAGGGAGTTCTACTAATTATTTCCAATGAGATAAGATTAACAAACAAAGTTTTACTCTCTGGGTTAGGATGAATTAATCAACACTGTTGTGAAGATTCTAAGTTCATAGTGTTAACTTCAAGAAAATAATGTCTACATGTAGTACTCGAATTTTTCAAGGCTAACTTGAAAAAATTATGTTGTACAATTACTATGAACATGATTACGATGGTTTATAGGGTTAGTCAGGTTCATTTCTATAATGTTCATTTCACAAGTTGGGGAAAATTATCAAGAGTTATGCTGTTTAATTATAACAAAAATTTACTTGAAGTAAATTTTTATAGTTAAAATTATTGATGAACCTTAGTTAGACGACGTGACGGAAGCTTAAACTTTTAATTGATGAGCAACCGTCCAGTGATTTACATGTCAAACTGTTTGTTAGGATATTCATCCAATATCCTAAGAGAATTATTGGTCAATTCCTATTGGTTAATTCCTACTGGTCAATTTTATGGTCGTCCTAGATATCAATGTCACGTGCTCCAATGTTGTTTCTTATTGGTTGTCCTGACTATCAATGTCACTTCAAATGTTGCTTCCTATTGGTCGTCTTAACTGTCAATGTCACAGACTTCGATGCTGTTTCCTATTCGACCAAAATGTATAAATACGCATTATCTGTAACGTTTTATGACCCGGACTCGGATCCCTAGTCCGGGATCCTGATTCTTTTCTGGACTCGGACCTCGTACTTTCTGGATGCTTGTAGAATACAGGTTCTACTTCACGTTCAAGTCTTCTTCTTTCACTCAATGGGGGTTGGGACACTCAGATTAGAGTGGTATGTCGTGTCGCCGGATCCTCGATCCTCACCCTCGTTTTCTGACGAAGATAAACTCGTAATAATTCAAGCATATCAAAATGACATGTTTACGTTCATGCGTAATACTGTTTCATACCAAAAATCGTAACGGAGTTTGATTCTCCGAGTTGGATTCTTTAGTCGTCGAACTTTAATTGTTCTTCTGAACATCATTATCAGCACAGACTTCTGATAGAAGTCTACCTAAAGTGCTGATGATGTTGTTCAGAAGAACAAAGAAGGTTCCTCAGAGAACGCAACTTCACCACTTGCATCCACTTGAGCTACAAATTTCCTCCACCATCTCCATTCCAAGCATCAATCAACTTAACTGGTTGTGTACTGCCAATGTTGTTTATCTAACCACATAGTTAGTCCATGATGTCAATCAACTACAAACTTCCAAATCAAAGTAAACCTGTTTAATTCATAAAAATAATTATTGTTTTCTAAATTTCTGCAGACAATGCAAGCAGAAAAAATTAAGAATGACTTATTATTTTCTTCAAAATTAGACAATTCCAATGAAAAGTCATCATACACTACCACTATTCTCAATCATAAACAATCTCCATCGAATTATCATTATTATTCATCAAAAAAAGATTTATCAACTATCAACAGTAAATCGAATTTCGATTTGCCGCCAGATTATTCTCATCAAAAACATGATCAATATGAATTGTACAGTAACGATCATAGTATGAAAGTTCATAACAATAATAATACTAATAGTAATAATAACAATCATAACAATAATTATAAAAATCTTTGGAATGTATCCAATAATTTATTAACTGATATAATCAATCATTCATCGTTTCCATTTACTGATCCATTATTTTGGTCAAATTCGCTATTAGTTCAAAACACCAATTTAGATGGAAATTATTTAGCTACAGCTGCGGCGGCAGCAGCTGCTGCAACCGCGATGGCCGCTGTGAATCCAGCGAATCTATTGAAATTATTACCGGCTGCAATCCAACTGAACAATAATAATAATAATAATCGTAATGATAATAATACATATCCGTCAACTACTACTACTATTAGTACTACTACTGCTACTACTGCTGCTACTTCTGGTTTTTATTCCTCCACTACCTCACCTTTCACAATGTCCTCCTCCTCCTCCGGTTCATCAATATTTTCAAATTCACCTAGATTATTGAATCATGACAATGGGAATAATATAAGTGAGAATACAAATACTACTCATAATAATAATAGTAGTAGTAATAATAATAATAGTATTGATTTTGATATGAAACATGATAAACTGACGACGAATAGACAAGGAAAATATTCTACAAGACATAAATTGTCATCATCACGCACAACATTGTTTGAGGATGATCAAATGGTCCAGGCCAATAATAGTAATAATATTAATAATGGTCACTCTACAAGTCCAAAGTTAAATGAACAGAGAAATTTGTCAGTTGATAGAAATTTCAGCTTAGGATCAGCAGAAATCATGAAACAAACTAACTTCATTGATTTTTATCGTTCATATTTGTTGAATGATTCAATCAATAATACTACTAATAATAATAATATTAATAATAGTAATAATACAGATTTCATTCAATGTTCCCCACCGCCTGCACATATTAGTTCAATTCAATATAGTCCAATAATTAATCAAATTTTAGACAAACTCACCGATTCCTCATTGTTGACTCATGTGAGTTTATTGATTTTTTTCTAGAAATTAATAATATTTTGCTGTGATAAATTTGGTTACGGTTAGGGTTCAAACTGGTCAGTCAGTTTGTACTCTTTTGCTGAAATGTTAGGATTATTGTTGAAATGAAAGGTTTTTGTTTTTAGGTTAGGAGAATGGCTATGTATTATTGATGTGTCTGTAGTATGCAAACAGTTTATTGATTATATTATGTAGTGAATTTATCTTTCTTCAATTAAAATTATGAAGATGAGTGTTTGTTGCACATTAAAATCATCAGTCAGTCATTGTTAGATCACCATTAGAAACCTGGGAGCACTGAAAGACGGCCTTTTCGTCCTTGTATGGAACTCATCAGCAGTGCGCAAACGCGATTCCTGAACCCAGTATCTTCAGTCTTGTGCGCGAACGCCTAACCTCTAGACCACTGAGCTGGCTGTCATCCAACGGTGTTAATGTCTAACTCTTCTTTCATCGACACTGTATATACTCCAACTAGGAAGGATTTTAATTAAGAATTCCTGGTTATATATGTCTGTGGGGGAGGAGTAACTTTCACCTATACACTGATACTGAATATTGATGTGCATTCTGTTTATAACTGTTGTAGGGTTTTGAGTATAAGAACTCTTTCTATTTAATACTGTGATAGCTCTTCACAAACGTAGTCAGTATTTCAGTTTATTGGGATTCTGTACAGTTAGAATCTATTTCATCAGATTGCTTATTAATGCCTGTTACCCCTTAGGCATAGGCCGCCGACCAATATTCTCTAACCTACTCCGTCCAGGACCTTCCATTCAAATTCTACCCAACTGCTATTCATTCTTTCCATGTCTGTCTCCAGTCGTCGGTGTATTGTGTTCTTTGGTCTTCCTTTTCTCCTTTGGCCTTGAGGATTCCAAGATAGGGTTTGCCTTATGACGCAGTTGAGTGATTTACGTAATGTGTGTCCGAGCCACCTCCAGAGGATTTTCCATTTTTATCTTCAGCTTCAATTTAGTTTGTTATCTCCAACAGTGGGTTGCTGTTGGTAGTTTCTGACCAACAGATCCTCAGTATCTTGCTTAGATAACTTTTAATTAACACCTGTCCCTTCTGGATGATTTCTTATGTGATTCTCCAAGTTTCTGCCTTATTCAAGTTTGCATTAAAAACTGTGACTTCTGTGTTAGCTGTTTTGAGCTGAAGATGTTTTTCAATTGCAGAAATACTGACTTTACTTTGCCTATCTGAGCCTTCACATCTGCGTCAGATCCACCTTGTTTATCAATGATGCTTTTACATTAAGTGTGATTTGGTTGGTGCATGTTGTGCTGTATCCGAGGATCTTACTTTCGTTCTTGTGTATATCGTGACCTACTACTGCAGAGGTTGCTGCTATACTAGCCCCCTTCTCCTGCATTTGTTGCTGTGTGTAGGATAGAAGGGCTTGATAATCATCTAATAAAGATAAGTTATTATCAGTTAGTTATCATCGGTTATAATTTTTCACTTGAATATTTTGGATTAATCTTGTAGCTAGGCGCTATCTATACACATTACTTTATCTTCCATACAGATATATTTGACAAGTATGTTAGTAATCAGACAATTTTAAATGTATCACACAAACACTCTACACATATCAAATTAATTCTAGTAGAACTGGATTATTAAATGATAAAATAATTACATTCATCATAGTCGTTTATTTTCTCTGAAGAAGTTGTTTACACTGAGTCACGAAACGTCAAAAAAAAAATACAAATTTCTACTCATTGGGATAGATCACTAAAATATAACTATTTCGTTATTATTAACTTCCTACTAATTGCTCAATTTATTTTAAACTGTCAAGTCCAACCTTGGTATTGATAGACTTGAACGGGTAGACTGTAGTAATTAAAAGTGACATCCATGATGAACATTTGACCATATTTGGAACACGTGAGCCGGGGATGTACCTGCATCCGCGTAGTTGTACACATTGAGTTTCGAACTCATCACCTTTGTGTTCATGACTAAAGATCGCCACTAACTAATTTAGTAGGTACAATACATATACACAAAAACTTATGATTAAGTGGTAATACAGAGGTGATTCACCTAGGATGTGACATATCCAGTTCTTGATATAAACAATGGAAAAATGCAAACACGTACAAAAGAATTCCAAATAAATAAAGAGCTTTCTTCAAAGAAGTTGGACTGGTTAAATTTACCAATCCATGTGTCCGAAATTTCATATCTATTTATTGATTATAATTAACTGAGTTAGAACTAACGGATTGGTTCAATTTTTGGATTTTAATATTTTACAAAAATCCTTATACGTTTTTATTTTACTTAACAAATAAACACTACTTATTAGTAGTTTGATTTTAGCTAACGAATAATCCGTTTTGAAATTCGACACAACTGATAGCAATATTTGACTAAATATATACTTTGAAATAAGTTAAATCTATCTAATTCTTTGTAGTTGTAGGGTTCTATTAAACCTGTAAATGTAGCTCCATGGTGCCTTAAGATTAAAGATACTACTAGTTGATGAATACCAACTAGAATGCAACCTACGTCAAGTTGAGATCATTGTCGATTGCTTCCAGCTATCCGACATCAAAATGTAGTACAAACGATCTTAGATAACGTAGATATATGATCAAGATTCAGTGTGATCGATAGAGTTCCACCGGATTCAAAAACCAGGAATAACCTAACACTTGATGATTAGTCAGTATCGAAATGAATATCTCATGTTTAAAGGCATTGGAGTATTTTTAAAAGTTATGACTGTGGTAGGTGAATTTTCAGCGGGGATTTTGAGTATGAACATATGATGAACAAAAATGTTGATTTGACATATTTCAAGGTAATAATCACACAGGGATAATAGACTTGGATTGTTGCATTTTTCAAAAGCAATTGCTATAAAGAAATTCCAGTTAAATCGTTCTATTTAGGTTTTGTTTTATTTCATTACTTACTATTCAATGTTAAATAATTGATAACACACTAGAACTTTCTACTGTTGGCAGTTTTCGATTTCATACATTTGGTGGTCATATCTTTACTTCATCTTTTTTGAATATAAAACTATGACCCATTAGTTGAAATACTCAGCTTTCAGGACTAAATTTGAACTCCACCAATTTCTATTCACACAAATGATTATTATTTACGTGAAAAGTAAAAACTGACAATAGAATGACAAGTGTACTGTAGGATTTAATTTGTCCTACAGATGTACTACTTCTAGAACTGTAAACGCAATATTGGCTAGCACAGAGTCTATGGGAAAGCTATAGTCAGAACAAGACCGATTTTGCTTTAGACTTTATCTGTTTCGACCAATATAGCGTGTCTTATGGAAATGAATAAAACTATGAGTCACATCAATATAATAAGATAATAATGTCCTTCAGTTTGTAGGTCATTTACAACAGAGGTAGTTCGTAGGCACGTCAGACCAGATCACGTGATGAACGCTCAAACTACAATTTGATTGGTTAGTTATATCATAACTACAATTAGTTATGAAAATAACTAACATGTACTAGTAGTGATAAGAATAACAAGATTCGAATAAATATTCCAGCATAGAAAGTTGGTCAAAACTACTTCACTACGCAACCTGAACTGAGTGGAGCAGAATTCCAACTCACAGCTTACTTGAGTTGAGAACCAAAAAATTTATATTTGTAAACCAATTTGACAACTAAGCTTTTAGCATTTACTGCCATTGTCTACTAGTATGTTCCTGAATGGCAAATCGATATAAGTCCTCCGAATATTTATGAAGTTGCGAAAGCGGTAGGAAATCTGAAGCGAGGGAGAGTAGCGGGTCCTGATGATAGATTGACCCCTGAGATTTTAAAGAATGGTGGTCTAGTTTTAGCAGCTAGATTGACTAAGATCATAGGTAGAATCTGGGAACTGGATGTATTACCATCCGACTGATCTCAATCTCTGATTGTCCCAATCTATGAGAAAGGACAGAAGTCTTCTTGTGACAATCACAGGGGAATAAGTCTAACTAATATAGTATCTGAAATATTAGCCTCAATAATATTCCGACGCCTAACTAGAGCTCGTGAAGAGCAAACTAGAGAAAACCAGGCTGGTTTCAGAGCTGGACATGGCTGTATAGACCACATATTCACACTACAACAGGTCCTGGAACACGAAACACACACATATCTTACTTACTTACTTACGCCTGTTACCCCCAATGGAGCATAGGCCGCTCACCAGTTTTCTCCAACCAACTCTGTACTGGGCTACCTTCTCAAGTTCTGTCCAATGTTTGTTCATTCCTCTCATATCTTTCTCTATTTCTCGGCATAGCGTGTTCTTTGGCCTTCCTCTTTTCCTTTTGCCTTCAGGGTTCCATGTGAGGGCTTGTCTAGTGACTCAGTTAGGTGCTTCCCGCAATGTGTCCTATCCACTTCCACCGCTTCTTTCTGATTTCCTCCTCCACTGGAATCTGGTTTGTTTTCTCCAACAGTTCGTTGTTGCTGATGGTGTCTGGCCAACGAATGCGAAGTATTTTGCGTAGACAACTGTTCACAAACACTTGTATCTTTTGGATGATGGCTTTCATAGTTCTCCAAGTTTCCGCTTTTGTATTGAAAATCCTGATTTTGGTTTTGGTTGAAAGTTGTTTGGAGTTCCAGATATTTTTCAACTGTAGAAATGCAGCCCCCGCTTTTCCAATCTGCACTTTCTTTGTTTTGAAGGATGCTTTTATGATCCTCGGTCCATGAGATTCCCATCCTATCAGTGCCTTTTGTGCATGTATGGACAGCATCAGTGCAACTCCTTGTGTATGTGAAGCGTTTTCCTCTTCATGACCAGAGTATAACAGCAGTTCCCCTGAAGCTAGTCTCAGTTGTCCTACCTGTGTCCAATGTGTTTCACTGATGCCGAGCACCTCGAGGTTGTATCTTTTCATTTCTGCCGCAACTTGAAATAGTCTTCCAGTCTCCCACAATGTACGAACGTTCCATGTACCTAAAAAAATGGTTGCTCTGGTTGTCAGAAGAGGCATCGGCCCCGTGACTTCCGAGGGAACTCGGCTTTCATCACGCGACGTCATAATTCTTCCTCCAACTGCCAGGGCAGAGTTAAAATGGTTTGAATTATTTTTTCTGGTTAGTGTTTTTTTGGCGAGTTAGATTTCGACGGAATGGGGTCGCCAACCCCATGTCCAACCCTCCTCCTTTACCCGGGCTTGGGACCGGCAGTAGCCCCTAAGGTTCTACTGGCGGAGTTACACACATATATAGGCGTCCGAAAATAGTTATCTTCCTGGACCTTAACGTGGCATTTGACCCTGTGGATCGTGAAGTTCTGTGGCAGTGTCTGTCATTGAAAGGTGTACCAAAGAAGTACATTAACCTTATACAAGCTCTCTACTTGAACACCAGTGGTAGGGTGAGAGCTTATGGTGATTGTGAATCTTGTATCCCGAATAACATGAACCAGTTTGTGCATAGCACACATCGACCAAGTATTATCTAATCTAGTGTTAGTACAATTTCTGGTCACTGATCATGGAAAACAAAGTACATTTCTTATTTCTTGTTATAAGTTTTTTTTTCACATAACAATGATTGTGACAGTTTAGTTTTTTTTTCACGATACCAAGTAATATTCATCATCTATTTCTTTCTTTTTCCCTCCTTTACACTTTTAGGAAGATGTGGATTTTTTTTTAAAAAATTTAGAAATTACCAAAACTGCCATTAAACAAGCACGTTGTCGATCTAATTTAATATTGAAAAAAATTGAAATTTTAGAAAATCAAATTCAATCCACATCAATCAATTCAAAAATAATGCCATTAAATTTATCTTGACTTATGCAAAATTTTTGTTCATAAGATTTATGTATGTACTACACAATTGACTAATTTTGTTTTTGAATGAATACTGTTGTGTTCAATATTTTTACGAAAACCAAACTCTGACGAATGAATCATCACAGTCAGAAACAGGATGGTGAATGTTTGTTGTGTCAGTGCACATTGATCTGACAAAAAAACAAAACAAAATGTACTCAAAGCCATTTTTGTTTGTTAGTACATACATCTGTAAATTCATTGCTCAAATAGTTAGTTATTTTGATGGACAAGAAAAAAAATAAATGTAATTCACTTTTGATTTATTAAACATTTAGTTTAAACAAAAAAAAACAAGTGGGTTTTCTCTCTCTAGAAAAAAAAACAAACTTGTTGTTGATTGTGAAGCTAGAAAACACACTTGTGCTACACTGTAACTGTTCATAACAGCATTTATCTATCTGTTATCGTCATTTTTAAAAGGATTAACGACGACTAGTTTATTTATTAATCAGAAAATGAATCTCTGTATAGTAGTAATGAGAAGACTGAGGCAGGCGCGGAAGATTGTATTATGCAAATTTACACTCTGAGTCAATGAAAAACGAAAACATTACATTGAATACTCACTCTATTTGCACACCATCTTTGAGTCCTGACTTCCAACACTCCATCCTTCTTCTTCCATTCCTGTTGTTGCTTCCTTTCCTTCCTCTGTTGGTACTCCATTTACTTCTTGTTTTTGCTCCATTTGCTTTCTGTTTTCCTCTTCTGACCGTGAGAGCTCTTCTTTCACGTCCCTTCTTATACTACTTATATCGTTAGTATAAGTATCACACATCACAGTAATACAGATGATCTGGCTCTTCTATCGTACATGCAACAACAAATGCAAGAGAAGACGACCAGTTTAGCAGCAACCTCAGTAACAGTCGGTCTCAACATACACAAACGGAAAAGCAAGATTATCCGATAGAACACAACATGTATGCCTTGGAGGACGTTAGCACCTTTACATATCTGAGCAGCATCATTGATGAGCAAGGTGGATCGGATGTAGATGTGAGGGCACGGATTGGCAAAGCAAGGGCTGCATTTCTACAATTGAACAACATCTGGAACTCAAAACAGCTATCAAAAAACACCAGTGTCACAATTTTTAATACAAATGTCAAGACAGTTCTACTAAATGGGGCGGAAACTTGGAGGACTACGAAAGCGATCATCCAGAAGTTGCAAGTATTTATTAACAGTTACCTGCCCACGCACGATACTTCGGATCCGTTAGCCAGACACGATCAGCAACAACTTACTGTGGGGGAGAACAAACTAGATTCCTCCAGCAGAGGAGGAAATCAGGAAGAAGCGCTGGAAGTGTATAGGATACATATAGCGGAAATCGCCCAACTGCGTCACAAGACAAGCTTCTAAGCAACATTTATTGAAATGATGGATCGATCAACGTTAGACCACTATTAGAAAGCTCGAAGCACTGGATGACCATTTCGTCCTAGTATGACACTCATCAGTAGTGTGCATCCACGACCACCATTCGCAGGAATCGAACCCAGGGCCTTCGGTTTCGCACACGCGAACGTAAATAAACTAACTACGACATAAGATTCTACAACTCGTAGGTGTACATGAAATTGTCAGGAAGAAAATCCCCATCCTTGAATTGTGCTCATTTTGTTTCTTCCCAATAAAACAATCAGTCACCTACTTTCGTTTATCATCAAAGCTGAATTCGTGCACAAATAGCTAAGACTTCAACAATTAGGCACATTGATAGACTTGTGCATAAACATAACATAGTTTCATTCCAAATTTATTGAATATCTAAGCTCTTCATCTTTTTCTTTAAGCCACAATCATTGTTGAAATCAATAAACTGTAATATGCATCCATGAATTAACATTTTTATTTGGCAAATGATTTTTTAGGGAGAAAAAAGACAGAGTCACCCAACAGTAATAATAACAATAATAATAATAATAATAATAATAATAATCTTTCAAAAGAATGAAACATGCTTGTCAAATGATCATCAATAACAATAAATTGAGACTTAGGAAAATTTTGTCTCTAAAAAATAATATTCACCACCATCATCATCATAATCGAAGACAGGGAAAAAATGTAATCGTACAATTCAACAATGAATGAATAATCACACACACATGCACACACACACTCAGGGAATCAATCAGAGTTAAGACAATAAAACATTTTTATAAGCATGTGTGTCTATCGATCTATCTGTCTGTGTGTTGAGGTCATTTTGTAAATCAAAAATGATTGCGCACATAAATATATGTTCATGTTCTCAATGATTACTTTTTGGTGTTGCTCATTTGTGCGCGTGTGTGTCCAAACGCATTGCACATAACTTAGAAAAATAATTATTTGTCTCGATCACATCAAAGTATCATCGGAAAAAAAGAATGAAAGAGTAAAACACAGACACGCACACACACGCACATAATTGTTGACAAAATAAAGAAAATAAGGCTTCAACTGAAATTAAAAAAAAAGTATTTATCACTTTTTTTTTCAAAAAACAAACAAACGGACAATAGTTATTGGAAGAAGAAAAAGATAGATGTATATATATATAGTACTCAAATTGTAATAAAGTAGTATTGGATACAAATACAAAAATATTTCTTTTTGTCAATAAGTCAGCCATATTTATGGTGCTTTATTTCATTTAAACATTCGAATTCAATTGTTCAGGTGTTTTATTCATGGCCAATTCGATCTCATTAATCATTAACTAGACAAAATTAGAAAGAAAAGAATTTAAATTAAAGGGGAAAAAAAAACAATGTGGTTTCAAACTGAAAAATAAATTTCAATAGAGAAATAAGAAGACATATTTTGTGAGATAGTACCATTTCGTGCTTTCTCGTCAGTCACATACAAGCAACATGTTATTTGTTTAAATACCGATTCAGTCCCACTGTATTTACCAATTCACATGTAACTGCGGAGAAAGTTACTTAGGGAGGACAGATCGCCGATTGGAAGACAGGATAGGGAAACATATTCCAAAATGGTTAATCAAATCCATGATTCATCAACCTAGCCCGTCATCTCAAAATCGATCAAGAAACCCAGCCTCGTCCATTGCAAAACATCTAATGATGAGTGGTCATCAAATTGATCCAAAATCAGCCTTTAGAGTTGTGGCATGTCATCAAAACCCACACACACACACTGAAACTACTCGAAGCTATCTTGATTGGTCGGAAAAGTCCAACTTTATGTGTTCAAAAACAACTGTATGTTGACCTTTGTTTACCATGGTTTTAGTGAGTGAATGTCATGCTAAATAAGAAATTTTGACCTTATCTTCAAAACTGTATTTACACAAATAACATGTTGCTTGTATGTGACTGACGAGAAAGCACGAAATGGTACTATCTTCTTATTTCTCTATTCAAATTTATCAAAGGGAACCACTGTTTTGAAAAATAAATACTCAAACTATAATAACACCAGAAAAATCCACAGGCAAACATAAGGCATCAAGAAACAGATCAAAATGGAGGGGAGGGGGAATACAATCAAAACAAATGTGTAAACAACAACCTATGGGTCAAATGTAGAGCAATTATCATTCGAATATTTCACTTCTATCTATCTGAAGTTTGTGCTAATGACAATGTTGTTCAGAAGAAGAACAATGAAAGACTCCACAACCAAAACATCCAACCCAGAGAACGAAACACCGCCACAATTGTTAAAATACTTGTTTTTTGAAGTTTTATCATACCATGCAGATCAGTCACACAGAGTCAGTCAGCCAATCAGTTACAACGTGCAACTTCGTACGTGTACGCACGTACATCAGTTCAAGTTGTCACACTACACTAGCACAGAGAGATAGAATTGTCAGTTTAAATCTTACAGTAGTAGAGGTCATAGCAGTATTAGCAGTAATGGAGAAGATTAGGGTTCAAAACATATAACCCAATGAAATAAATTCAAAAAGAAAACCGGTCGTGAAGAATTCGGCACACACAGAGATCGTATTTTCAATGGAATGGTGATATGATGGTAACAGGATCTATAGTGATACTGTTCTTCGACAACGGAAGAAGAGAGTTACAATAGGTTGGTCCTAGAAAAAGTACACTCCCTTACAGATCCCTGTCACCCTGGATGATTTGTGAAACGTATGAAAAGCTAACACATCACAAAATAATTCTTTCATAAATGACTTAAGAAGATAGTTGTCTTTTGAAAAATAAGATCAGGTCCTCAGATCATCCGGATCAATTCTAAATCAATTTTCTTCACGGGTAACTTTCAATCAGAAAGTGACACAGCTCCCATATCTCTAACAGTAATCAAGCCAATCTTATTCAGTTTATAAAAAAAACAGCTGACAAATGTTTTCTTTGGCTCTGCAGTAAATCATCAAAGCCGATTTTTTGTTATGTCATTTACGATCTCCAACCATTGGTTTTAACGATCACACGGACTCTGTATAGGAGAATATCAAAAAGTCACTGACTTGATGAACTGAAGTTATTTAAATTTTCTCCTCGGTCAGTCAGTAAGTTACAAAGTAGAAATTTGTACATGAGTAAATAAGTTCAGGTTGCCATATCGCATTAGCACAGAGACGCAACTGTCAGTTTAAATCCCCATAGCAGTAGAGGTCGTAACAGTATTTTATCAGCAATGGAGAAGATTAGGGTCATCAACGCACTCAACTGCTTCACTCCCTATCACTAGTTCAGGTGCCGATGCAACTTAATCTTGAAGCAACATTTTGCATTTCGACGGGGAGAATCGCATCCTCCCGCACATGCTTGCATTGGTCTAACCAACTGTGACCTACTACTTCCAACCTAATAAGTACTTGAAAATGTCTATCAATGAACAATAACCCCTAAATTATTTCACACACACACACACAAACCTATACTACTCACAACATATATATATATATATATATATATATATATATATATATATATATATATATATATATATACATTGGAATTAACTTACTTTAGCTAAATTAAGATCACAATCGAATTGTTTTGTTTGATGACCAGATGTAAAAACTTTTTTTTGTTTTTCTTTTAAAGTAATCAATATTCCAGTTTTATTGATAATTGGCACTTCAGCTATATTTTCTAATGAAGTTTTCCAATCAATTGAAAATGTTCCCAATAAATTCATAGATTCTATGATAAGTAGATTGCTAATAAAGGATAAAGAAGTATCATAAGGGTGGGGATGGTTACACAAATAATCTACATCGATATAAATTGTAAATTAAGACAGACTATCAATTTACACTATAAAATTAATGAATAGGCAGGTTTCTTTGTCAAATGACTCGTAAAAGTAATTTGATTTGTTCGACATGTGTATGAGCCATATTATTATAACCACGGTGAATTGTATTATTAATTCGTTTACTGTTGTAAGACCTTGACGCTAAACCGTGTTTGGAACGCTCTCGTCGTTTGCTGTGCATAATTGAGATTGAGATGGTGGAGAAAATTTGTAGCTCAGGTGGATTATTGTGGTGGTGGTGTTTCGTTCTCTGAGCTGGTTGTTTTTTGGTTGTGGAGCTTTCATTGTTCTTCTACTGAACAACAACATTATCAGCAAAAACTTCAGATAGAAGTGAAGTATTCGAATTTCTCCACATTTGACATGTAGCTTGCATCTCGACGAACGTCTTCGTCAGCATGTTTTGCCAACAAGTGTCAGATATTGAGGTTAGCAGAACAAGCTACAGGTTAAACGTGGAGAAATTTGAATGCTTCACTTCTATCTGAAGTTTGTGCTGATGATGTTGTTCAGTAGAAGAACAATGAAAGCTCCACAACCAAAACATTCAGCTCAGAGAACCAAAAACCACCACAATAATTGAGATTAAATATCAACTGAGATGAATTGATTCTGTGGGGAGATGATTGTAACCGATAAAGTTACGTGACAGAGATTGATTTCAGTTGAACTATTGTTGATAACTAAGAAGCATTGGATTGATATTTCATTCTACTACTATGGAATTGTTCATTAGTGTGCACTCGACTTAAATCCATCAAAGATTAAACTTACGACTCTTTAAGTCAGGTAGTATGCATAACCATTAGATTGGAGTTTAATAATCATTTCGCAATATGATGCAAAGATCATTCAGTCAAACAGTCAGTTACAACGTTGAAATTAGTACATAAGTACATCAGTTCAGGTTGCCATACTACATCAGCACAGAGACGCAACTGTGAATTCAAATCACATAGTGGCAGCGATAGCAGAAGTATTAGCAGTAATGGAGAAGATTAGGGTTCGAAAAATATCATTTAAGAAGTATAATTCAGTGAGATAAATTGAGAAAGAGAAAGATAGAGACTATGAGGAAATCAGAAGGTTAGAATTAAGAAGAACACAAAGAGTGGATGAACCTGCGACACAGCAAACGATTTTGAGCCAAGTCGTTCAAGGTCTCTAAACATCGGTAACTTTCGTCTCGCGGACCACAACCACGTAGCCAACATCTACCAACATGACTCAGTTCACTTGTCAGTGACTTGATGGATTTCTACCATGTTTTGGTTTGGCCGCCCCTAGCTTCCTTCCAATCTACTCCTACACCACAAAACATAGCTCGTCGAGGCAGTTGGTTGTTAGCCATACGTAACACATGTCCCAACCACCTCAACTGATGAAGATCCACTACTTTAATTGATACGCCATCCTTACCTAGTACCCGTTTACTAACAACAGCACTGCTTACTCGGTTGTCCCAGGATACTCGAGCAATCCTTCTTAAACATCTATGATCGAATACTAGTAACCTACGAAGATCATTCACTGTGAAATATAGTTTTCGTCAATTACTACCTTTCGATTGAAACTAAACAAGCAATGCAAACCAGAAGGGGGACTGGACAAATGTTTGTTATTAGTGTGAACATTCACGATTACAACAACAACAAGAATCAAATCTAGGGGACTTTTGGGTATTCTGATGAAAGTGTAGTAGTAGTAGTTCATACTTCTGAATCAGTCAGTCAATTTGTGATATTGTGTGTTGATTGAGGCATTCATTATCTATTGATAATTATTATCTAACTAACTAAAAATATATTACTATATAATGTGATCAAACAAACATCACATGACATTTGTTTCTTATTATCTAAGAAGGATCATGAAAAAGTACAAATTCTTTAAATACATATATATATGCATTTTTCTTCTTTTTTAAACCATAGGAAATAAACATTGAAATATTTAATTTCTAGGAAAATAAGTCATATTACTGATTTGCTTTAGTAATGATCATTCCCGACCGTAGCTGCTACATTGACGTGGTAGTCGAGCTTGCCTATCGCGATGACTCAACCAAGCTACACTGGCTGGAACATATGTCCTACAGGTCCTACCATGCCAGGCTGGTCGATTGGAGAACGATAAGACTAAAAGCAGCAACCCAAGGTCTGAGGGCGAAGTCGTACTGCTGACTGCAGAGGGGTGTGACAGCAGTAAGGTGTTTCCCTCGGACAACCAGCATCTGCAGCGATGCTGCCTTCTCACAAGGAAGGAAGGGTTAGAAAAGGTCGACCCTAAAAATGTCATACCTCCCCTAACTCATGGATTTCCGTCTCCTTGGGTAAGGGTGCCCACTAAGGGCTTTTAAGAACGGAGCTAATACTCAAAAATCCTTTCATAAAAAGGCCGTGCGTGACCGGCCTCAAGCAGTTGTCCCTTAGGCTGTGCGGTCACGCTCCCACGTCTCTAAGACTGATACTAATCTACCTTCCTTTCCAGGTTCCTCAAGAAACAACCTTCCATGGTGTGAGCAGCCGGGAAGTGACAACCGCCCTCATACTCATAACAGCACAAGAGACCAAATTGGTCGAAATCAAATCCTTCCTACACCCCCTAAACCTCTCTTCTCTCCACAACTACCTCTACTCACATTCCCTTATCTGACTGAATGATCATTAATTAAGAAGAGAGTTTTTTAATGATTTATACGCGATGATTGTCATTGTGAACGGATAATATAATTGTACAGAACTAATGGAAGGTAGGTAGGTAGAATTCGATAACCTAGTTTATAACCTTGAACAGTAGTACACATACAACAAATCATTTAGTTTGGTAATTTAAAGTTATTATGGTTGAACTGAACTTGACAAGATTGTTAATTCAATCACATACGATGTTGTAGTCAGTGAGAATTGATTCGGCATTGTTAAATGTCCATACACGAAACCGTCATATCTACTGATATCTAATTGGTGACATATCCTCAAATGCCCCTCGCACAGTTGAGAGTAGAAAGAGAAGCCACTGTCCCTCTTACAATGCTCTCACATAGCCAAGTGTGTATAGCCATTGTCAAAGAAGTCCTACCTACAGCCTTGTCGTGGTGAGCATGTTCCTTATGCAATTAAGAGGACGAACGTCTCACCGTGTACATATATGCCCTTAGATCCTGAAGGAACAATTAGCGTATGGATATATTGTTGATCACTAGCTACTTATGAGATTGCATCTCCCTAACGTTGATCCACCGGCATTGTGGAATAAACCAACTAAGTCAAAGGTACAATTAATTGTATAGTCTAAATGGATTGATATACAAGCTAAGTAGATTGCATTCAAAAAGCAATTATCTTTTGTAGGCCATTTTATTGTTAACTCATTTATTAAGCATAGATATATATGTATGGGACAGCTAACAATAACTACCTTATCTCCCGAAAATGTAACTGTGGTGCGAGCTACTAATAAGTGGTATATGACGTGAGTAAAAACGCACTGTCTGGCAGAAGAAGATGTAGGGGAATATCAAGAAAGGAAGAATGGGAACACAACGGAATTTGTATGAAACGCATGAATAGTGAAATGTCAGACAATGGATTGATGATGATGGATTGGAGATTTGCAAATAAAAGGTGGTTAGGATATGGTTTTCCTATTTTACTGAGTAACTCTGTAATTTTCATTAAATACAATTCGGTTGCCCTCACTTGTGTTCTCCTTCACTACAGAACAAGTCAAGCATATGTTTGAAACTCATAACACACAAGATTGAAAGTTTAACGCATTTAACCATTGATCTGTTATTGTGGTGGTGTTTCGTTCTCTGAGTTGGATGTTTTGGTTGTGAAGCTTTCATTTGTTCTTCTGAAATTTGTGCTGATGATGTTGTTCAGCGGAAGAACAATGAAAGCTGCACAACTAAAACATTCAGCTCATAGAACGAAACACCACGACCACAATCATCCAGTTGAGCTATAAACTTTTTTCTCCACCATAATCTATTGTTGCATATGACAATTTAACAGACAAATGAACAAGATGTTTTGTGAATAGGCAATAACTATTAATTATCTGATCAAAAAATAGAAATGTGAATAGATTGAAGTCGAAACTTATCAATAAAGAAAACATCACTTCACTGATAAGTAGAGTATCACTCTCTCTCGCTCTTTACATATACATATATTAACACTTACTTTGTTTGAGATCATGAATTGATCAATGTTAGACCACCATTGAGAAACCTGAAAGCACTGGACGGCCGTTTCGTCATGGTATAGGACTCACCAGAGGCAGTGCGAATCCATGACTCCTGCACCTCGTGGATGCACACTGCCAGTGATGAGTCCCATACCAGGACGAAACGGCCATTCAATGCTGTCAGGTTTCTCAATGGTGGTCTAACATTGATTGATTCATGAGTTGAAAACGTATAACTTAACAATCTCTACAGCCCCGTTAATACACTTACTGTGTTGTTAAAACCAATGTATTATTGCCTCGAATAGAATGAAGATGGAATAGATATTGACCAAGAATACCATCTTTATCAACTTGCTAAAATAAATACGAGAAAGAAAAAAAGAACAAACATAATAAAGTGAGAAAAATAATCGGTGCTTCAGATAAATCATTATTTGAATGAGAATAGAAGAAGTCATTCATTTGTTGTTGATTAGAAAGAAGATGTCAAACAATACAATAGTTGTAATAAAAACAATAACAGATTTTGTACTTATGTATATATGTATATTTCATCATACAGTTATGAAGATTATTGAGTTTTATTGAAAAATTATGAATCGATCATTTTTATACCAGCCATTAGATGAAATGGTGAAACTTCATCAGGTGAAGTGGTTGGGACATGTGTTATGTATGCCCAACCACCGACTGCCTGGTCGAGCTGTGTTTTGTGGTGTAGGAGTAGGTTGGAAGGAAGCTAGGGGCGGCCAAATCAAAACATGGCACAAATCCATGAAGTCGTTGACAAGTGAATTGAGTCATGTTGGTAGATGTAAGCTACCTGGTTGGGGTCCGCGAGACGAAAATTACCAATGGTTAGAGATCTTAAACGACATGGCTCAGAATCGTTTGCAATAGCGCAAGTGCATCCATTCGTTGAGCTCTCTCAAATCCTAATCTTCTGGATTCGTCAGCACCTCTATCTTTGTCTTTCTAACCTTATCTTACTGAATTATACTTCTTGAATAATGTCTTCAAACCCTAGTCTTCTTCATTACCATTAATACCTCTACTATCTTTATCACTATGGGATTTGATTTGACATATGGTATGGCAGCATGAACTTATGTACGCAAGTACGAAGTTCTACGTTGCAACTAACTAACTAACTAGCCATTAGAAAGCTGGAAGTAATGCATAGCTGTTTCGCCCTAGTATAGGACTTATAAGCAATGCGCATCCACGACTCCCGTTCGTGGGTATTGAACTCAGGCCGGAACACAAAATTGTTAATATCGAATTTCGATTAATCTAGGGTATAACACAACTTCACCCAATGTTTTCGGTAGTTACTGTTTACACCGGACAGGGTTGAACTGCACTAGTCACAATTTCTCACTAGAACTCCGGGAATTTCCTCATGAAGCTAGTCCCTAGTGAGCATATATATATACTTCAAAAGTAATCACAGAACTGCATACCAGTTTACAAGAATGACCAGGTTGATATAATAAGGAACATCGCATGTACTGGATAATAAGTATAAGCGTATATAATTTAGAAAGAAATAAGTCGTAAACAATGTGTATGATGTAACATTTGTCACGATTACTTTTGAATAATGTGAAACAGTAGTTGGGAATCAGTATTTTCTTAAAAAAGTCGATTGAGATGTCATTTTTGCAGGTGAATAATGTACCGCACAAAAACTTACACAATATATGTGTGAAGCATTCTGTTAGACTAGTTAACTAATCAGTTAATGAGTGACAGTGGAATTCAGAACCTGTATCATGTTCTGTTAATTGCTACCACCCATTAGCCATTTCTGCTTATAACGATGTTCGTGATTTAATGGCGAGGCGTTAGAGGCGTTCCGCACATCATGTGTGCATGCCAAAAAGAGACTGGTCAGTCGTAGTTGCCAAACATCAATCGGGAAATTCAAATAACTGATAAAAATGAATCGGGCAACTAACTGTTCACAGAATAGTGATCTACGTCAGGTTTGTTTAGTCTTTTAGTGTTGATCGAACTCTGTCAGTGAAACTACAATGTGGTCACTGATCTAAGTAATTCAAAATCCAGTGTACAATGTTGAGATGCTACGTGGTTAGAAATGGTTGGTGGAAAACTTTCAACTCAGGTTTCGTGCTGAATAGTACCTAACACAGTAAGGAGTACCTGTAAACGTGAGAAAACTGATACTTCCTGTGGGATTTAAACATTTCAGCCTGTGAAGTTGGGTGACATGGGTTTGAATCCCACAGGGGGTAAAGGTTTCATTTCGTTTGTAGATATCCCGTACCGAACAATACCAACTAGCAGGAAATCCCAGTCTAGAGTCTTCTGCCGACCGGCATTAGAAACCTGGTAGCAATAGACGGCCGCTTCGTGTTAGTGTGGGACCCATCGACAGCAATCGATGATAGTCGCACAATATCGTAGATTGATCGAAGTTAGACATTAACATTGTAGGATTCTGACCCAGTAGTCAGGAAGTTCAGCGTCGGCGTGTGAGATCCAAGATCCCACGTTTGACTCCCCACCACAGTGTCGTGGATGCGTACAGCTGGTGAATCCCATGCTAGGGAGAAACAACCGTTCAGTATGCTTCCTAGTTTATAATCATGTTCCAACTACTGACTAACTCATAATCACAATGAAACAGAAATTTCAATAGCTCACCACTTTCATTTGGATAAAACATACTGATCATACATGTGTTATTATTTTAAAGAAGAAAAAATACTTACTTTAAGAATAAGATAACCTTCAGCTTCTCGTTTATCATATGGTCTGATAATTCCATCAGAACGAATAAATCGAGGCGGACGAACACGTGAAACTTCTTGGGTTGTATCAGCTAATCTGTTGTTTTTTACAATAAAAGAAAAAAAGTACTGATAGATAGATAGATAGAAATTGTATTAGAGATATTTGTAAGTTATTCAGTCAGTTACAATGTAGAACTTGGTACGTAGGTACATCCGTTCAAGCTGCCATACAACAATAGCACAGAGATATGGATTCATCAGTTTAAATCCCATAGTAGTAGAGTTAGTAGAAGTATTAGCAGCAATCGGAGAGATTAGGGTTCGAAAATATTATTCAAGTAAAATTCATTAAGACAAATTTAGAAGGAGAATGATAGAGATTATGAGGAATTCAGAAGGTTAGAATTAGAGAACACAAAGAGTGGATGCACCTGAGCCATTGAAAACGATTCTTAGCCATGTCGTTCAAGGTCTGTAACCATCGGTGACTATCGTCTCGCGGACCCCAACCAGGTAGTCTACATCTACCAACATGGCTAGTCCACTAGTCAGTGACTTCATAGATTTCTGCCATGTTTTGATTTGGCCGCCCCTAGCTTCCTTCCAACCTACTCCTACACCACAAAACACAGCTCGACAAGGCAGTCGGTGGTTGGGCATTTGTAACACATGTCGCAACCACCTAAACTGATGAAGTTTCAATACTTCATCCTTAGCCAGTACTCGTTTCCTAACTATAGCATTGCTTACTCGGCTGTCCCAAGATAAACAAGCAATGTTTCAGAGACACCTATGATCGAAAACCAGTAACCTACGAATATCTCTGACTGCTGCGCAGTACACTCATCCTTTGGTTAGCAGACGGATTTCTAGCCTACGCCATAAGTGACGCAGGTTGGCAAAAGCTAATCGAGCCTTCTGTATCCATGTTGAGATTTCGTCAGTTAACAGGCCAAGTTAGCTATTTGTAGCTAATGATAACTTTTATGTTTTAATTAGAAAGATAAATCACATCGAATATAAATCAATCACATTGTGAAACAATCAAGAAAGAATATCTATGAAGATTTTATTGATTATTTAGACAAAGGGGCACATCAAAATATTTATTCGTCAAATAGATGATTGACTTTGTGTATATACGATGATATATTAACCCAGCTAGCTAAACTGAATCAAACGGTTTCTCTTACGAGGCCACTCTCCGATCCTTTGACCTAGAGGTTGGATCTACAATGCAGTAAGGTAACATCAGGAGATGCTTACTTACTTACATACTTACGTCTGTTAGCCCCAATGCAGCATAAGGCCGCCGACCAGTTTTTCTCGAACCTACTCACACTCTGTCCTGGACCTCCCTTTCTAGTACTGTCCAGATTTTGCGCATTCTTCTCATGTCAGGATATGCAGTCCCAATGGTAACCGGTGATCAACTATGCACACATTATTTTCATTTCCACCTTTCTAGTTGCAGACATTGTTATGAATCTTATAAATGAAGTTATGTTCATTATGTAATCATTCTCAGTCTGTTAGGATATTCATCAAATATCCTAAGAGAACTATTTTTGGAAGTCTAATTCTATTGGTCGATTCCTACTGGTCAATATTATGGTCATCCTAACTATCAATGTCACACACTTCCATGTTGTTTCTGATTCGGCCTAAATATATATATATATATATATATATATATATATTATCTGTAAAGCTATTACACTCCATTTAATCCTTCCTACATCTCTTCTGTACTCGACCTCATAAACAACTTCATCTAAACAGTGTTGTGTTCTGATGCATTGGAGATTTGGGAACAGTATTTGGGGTCGTGTTGGAATATCTGAATTTGGACGTTGGTAGGATTTTCGAATAGCTAGCTGCATAGCGCCGTTATAACATCGACTATATATTTATATGATGACGAGATGAGAATAGCAATGAGTTATTTATTATTTAAGATGTTATAATGGCAATAACTCAAACTAATACCTACATTATCTACGCTGTATCATATTCAATGTTGTTTAGAAATAATTAAATAATAATAATAATCAATTACCTGCGAATTCCTTCAAATGAACTACTAGCAAAATCAACAACACCAGAAACTGGACGAGTTACAGCACCAACAAGACCTTTGCCAAAGCCTAGAAAATTGAACATTAAAATTAAAAAAAAATTGAAACAACTTTTTTTTGTGTGTGACTATAAAAAAAAAATCAAAACAAAATGAATTCGATACGAACAAATAATCATTGTGATATGATGTACTAATTAATAGGTTAAACATTTTTTGAAACCATGAAACGATCAATGTTAGACCACCATTAGAAACCTGGAAGCACTGGACGGCCGTTTCGTCCTGGTACGGGACTCATCAGCAGTGTGCATCCACGACTCCTGCACCCCGCAGGATTCGAACCAACCCAGGACCTTCGGTATTGTAGTCGAACGCCTAACCACCAAACCACTGAGCCGGTATCTAACGGTGTTAATGTCTAACTTGATCAATTCACGGAGTTGCGCAACCTTATACACAGTCTTCGGTAGACACTGTCTACACCCGAACAGATTGAACTTCACTGGTCACGTCTTCCCACTAGAACTAGGAGAAGATTCCTCACGAAGCTAATCACTAGTGAGCATAGGTAATTTGCATTACGGGGTTGTGAAGATTTTGTTAAGTTACACGAAACGGCCGTCCAGTACTTCCAGGTTTCTAATGATGGTCTAACATTGATCGATTCATAGTTTCAAAAAATGTGTAACTTAACAATCTTCACAACCCCATAATGCTAATTAATAGGTGACAAAGAGAAAGCAAGAAGGTGAATAAAGTAAAACATTCAAAAATTAAGAAAGCTACTAGCTATACGATTAATAATAATGGATGTTGTTACG